CAGATTGGTTTCGCCAAGTAAGGAAGTGTGCAAGGGACCTAGACTTGCCATGACTGGACCAAGAAAAAAACAGAGACGGGAACTCGACTTGATATATAGGAAGCGAGGGTAAAAAGAACGGGAGGCCCGAGGGTTTTTCCTATATCTTGGCCCTCCTTGTAATTCAGCTTCTTGTCTAGTAATTGCATCAATGTCATCCGTAACGACGTATTGAACCTCTTCAAGAAAGCATTGGAAGAGAGAGAGCATGGATCATCTTATCCCTTTTTGAGTTGTATTCATTAGCTAAAATCTACCGTCATGTCTTCTTAAATTGTCGTGACCACTCTTCGTACGTCTCAATCATCTCCCGCGTGATGTTGCGCGGTGTTCTCTCCACAGCGGCTACCAGATCCGCCATCTGAATCTCCAGCTTCTCGATGCCGGTCTCGTCCTCGTCGTATCTATCCAGCACTGCCAGGCCTGCCTCGTTGCATATCGCCTTGATCTCGGCACCCGAGTAGCCGTCGGCCTTGGTGGCAAGGGCCTGGACATCGACATCGGAGGCGAGAGCGAGGCCCTTCAAGTGCACGTTGAACACGGCCTCGCGGGCCGCCTGATCGGGGGGTCCGACGTAGAGGACCTGGTCGAAGCGCCCCGGGCGCATGAGCGCGGGGTCGATGGCGGACGGCCGGTTGGTGGCGGCGAGGACGAGCACGCCGGTCAGGGACTCGAAGCCGTCCATCTCGGTGAGGAGGGTGGTGAGCATGTTGACGGAGCCGTTGCTCCTCGACGACGACGCGGAGCCTCCTCCTCCTCCGGTGCCGCTGCGCTGGCCGCCGATGGAGTCGATCTCGTCGAAGAAGATGATGGAGGGCGAGGCGGCGCGGGCGCGCTCGAACAGGGTGCGGACGGCGCGCTCGGATTCGCCCACGTACATGTTGAGCAGCTCGGCGCCCTTGACTGCGAAGAAGTTGAAGGAGGATTCTGTGGCCATGGCTTGGGCTGATAGGGTCTTGGAGCATCCGGGGGGGCCGTACAGGAGCAGGCCTTTCGGTGGGTGGCGGAGGACGTGCCGGCTCGCGGGGTTGGTGTTCTTGTTGGCAGAGGAGGTTAGGGACAGGCGAGAAGGGGTTGAGACAGAGATAGCTTACCTTGGTGTTCTTGATCATGCGGGTTAGAACCTTCTTGAGGTTCTCCTGACCACCAACATCTTGCCAGTGAATCGTGGGAGGCTTGAGGTTGATATCGTGCATGGCTGTTGGGCGTGTGATGCGTAGAGCCTGTTCCATATCGTCGCGAGTGAGGTACTGGGGCTCGGCATTCTCAGGGTCAACACCAGCATCGTCAAGTCGGTTACCGAGAATCTTCTTTGCATTGAGGACGAGGTTGGCCAGGTCGTCTCCGTTGTACGCGTGTGTCTTCTGAGCCAGGCTGGATAGGGATGACTCCTTATCTTCGGGGCGGATAGGAGGGTCGAAGAAGTTCAGAATCTCCAGACGCTCCGTGGCTCTTGGGATAGGGAGAGCAATGTTCTCTCGGAAACGACTCCTCTTCTGCAGCTTTGGCGGGACGTCGGTCATATAGTCGAGACACGAAGCAATGACCACTACCCGAGGGAGCGCATTCTGTGCCCTGGCGGTAGCCGAGAGAGCATCCAGCTCCTCGGCGATGGCCTCAACGACGGCCTCTCTGTTTTGCCGGTCCTTTGAAATGAGTTCCTCGAGGGCATCTATCAGCACAATACTTGGCTGCTGCATCTGGGCCTGCTTGAAAGTATCCTTGATGGCAACCAACTTGTCCGAAGGCTTGATCCAGTGAACCTTTCCCCAGTTGGTGTCGGCGATGCGCTGCATGATGAAGGTCTTGCCTGTGCCGTGGCCACCGTGAATGACGAAGGCACTGGATTCGCGCTCATCCTTCACCCAGAACGGGCGTCCAAATCCCTTCAGGAAGGCATTGATAACCTTGACTTGTCTCGCCAGACCTGGGACTTGGCTGACGACCAGATCGCCTGCGGGTTCGGTAGCGAGAGCAGCTGCGCCCGTGTCTTCCGAATCTCCAGGTGCGAGAAGCCGCACATTACTGCTGCTGAGAACGAATTTACCCAGGTTATCTTTCTGCGAGTTCACAGATAGAACCTTGAACGACCGGCGTAGCTTGTTGATGGTGACTCCCTCCAGCACCATGCCAGGGAAAATGAACTCGGCACGGTCTGGAGCCTAGTCAGCTTCATGGAATTTCTGAAAGAAAGAAAATATGTCTGAGCGGCAACTGGCTTACCTAGCGAAATACTGATCGAAAACTCCCAACCAGGGGGGTGGTAGGCCTCGGAACCATCATCCTGTCCTGGATCACCTGCCTCCTGTACAACAACCTCCTCGATAACTGGCGTTGCAGTGTCACTGGCCAGAGATATGCGAACTTGATCTCCAATTTTGAAGCCGGTAGCATCCTGGAACGCTCGAGTCATCATCACGACATTCGGACTGAGATTCTTCTCTGGCAGTACCCAGAGAGCAGCCTCTCGTCTAAGAGGCTCCTCCGTCTCCAACCGCTCAACAACACATAGTTTCCCATTGTCCAGGTTCCCCGTGAGCGAGATGAGCGAGTCCTTGCTCACGTAAATGCGGGCCGCGCCGAGGAGGCTGGCTTTCTCGAGACTTGTGTTGGAGAGCGGACGCACCTTGGCGTCGATGGACTTCTTGACCATTGCTTCCCGTCCTCGGCTAACCCTACGGCGGAAAGTTAGAGAAATGATTCAAATCTACAAAAATTCTTATCCTTCTATTTCCTATAGGAGAGAGACATACCTCTATCAATTTGGTGGTGCAGTGAGGGGGAATAGCCTGGAGTGGATGGCAAGAAATGGAAAATGGAGATACTTGTGGTCGATTCTCTCAGTAGTTCAGAAATTTTGTAAGTGAGCAACCGTCAGTCAGTGGGTGCTGCCCTCCACTCCAGATCTGCATCTCGACATGCGGCTTTCCGCTCATGATCAAGTAAATATGAAGAAGGAATTTTGGAATAAATGTATCGATCTCAAGCTATCGCCCCTAATATCACCCTCGTGATTTCCCGGCCACTGGCGACTAGTGTGATGGTAAATGTGTGTCTGAGGGTGATGAAAGACATTCTTGCTCAGTGCGGCTCCGTCCAGATTTTAGCTACCACCAACAACCCACACAACATCCCTGCACCACCAACCTAGATTTCTCGCCTTTCTCAATATCGAGAAGACGCGGGCAGAACGCCATCCAGCCTCGATGATTGCTCTCGTCCCCCTCTGACCGCCCGCATGATACGCCCAAAATGGCCCGGCAGCCGAGCGACGACAGCGTCGATCCGCCAATGCGCCAACCGTCATAGACGCTTCATATCCTCCAGCTCCGCCCCGCCTCCAAACCTGCCCGATGGCCTGCAACGCCGAGACGGAGAACAGCAGGAGAAGCAGGCCGTTCAATGGTCAGGGCTGAGGCGCCGCACCCCTTCTTCCATCAAGCAAGCGACGGCTCCGGGAGCCAGTAGCCGCTCCCTGCAACCCAGCCAAGTAGAGATAAGCAGACCGGTCGACAGGCACAAGAACATGCTCGTCTTCACGGGCCTGAGCAAGAACCTCGTCGCCAGCGACTTCTACCGCCTCTCCCCCGAGTCCCAGAGCCTGTCCGCCTGGGGAAGCACCATCAAAAAGGGTAGGTGACTCCCATATCTCACATCTCTAATTTGACTCTAACTCGGGGGCAAACAGTCCAGCAACGCCGCGAGAGGTTGACACTCGAGCCGACGGGCACCTACCACGTCTCCTTCAGCACCTCCGAGGCCGCCGCCGCCTACCACGACCGCGTCGCCCGGCTTCACCAGCTGGCCAGGCTCAAGAGCGCGAGCCAGAACGGCCTGTGGACGGCCACCGTCCCCAAGCACCTCGAGACTCCCGGCGGCGGCGCCGACCCGGCCCAGGAGCTCGAGTCGTACTCCCTCCTCCCGCCCTCACAGGACCTGCTCGTCTCCCGCGCGAGGACGTCGCAGAAGAGCTGGGAGAAGCACCTGGGCGACAACATCACCAAGGACTTCGGGCCTAGACCCGCCGCCGTCCTGCTCCACGCCGACCCCCCCGATCTCGTGGCGGAAGATCTGCACGATGCGATTCTGAGGGACGGCGATAAGCGAGATTCGCGGTGGAAGACGCCGTTTCCGGTCTCGCTTCTAGACGCCTCCACTGCCCAGACATCGTCGGAAACGACGTCGAAGCTGGAGAGTTATGTACTGGACTCGCTGAGAGGCCGCTTCGTCCTGGCCTTCCCCAACGAGTGGGAGGCTAGGAGGTTCCAACGGGGCTGGAACCAACGGCAGCTTGAGCTGCCTGATGACGACCTTCACAAGCCGTACCTTCTCAACGTCTCCTTCATCAACTGGTAATCATGGGAGAGACTGGACCGGAGCTGTACTATCATCCATCCTGTATATTCGTATATTTGTATATATCATAAGCACATAGACATGCACGCGAGACCCATATCAGTGCTGCATCACTGATATAAGGTCCACCTACTCGAATCATTCTGAGAAAACCACATATTGTAGGAATGTATATTAGTCCCAGATCAAAACCCAGAAACTCCGGACCTTATTTGCTCTCTAAAGAAGTAGGAACAGAGACCAGCTGGGGCGGGAGACACAGTATTAAGACATGACCTTGCCCGCGCGCCTCATCTTGGTGTCGCCCTCCCATGCCGCCCGCGACGCTGGCGCCTCGCCGTCACCTCCCAAAAAAACCAGGTATCAACAACACACGCGCTCGCTTGAAGGATATCTCTCTCCGTGTAGCGAGCTCAAATCCTACACATAAAAATGATGGATCTTTGCTCCGTCGTCCCCTCGGCTCTAGCTCTCGAATGGACTGGAGACCATCCGCGTGTATATGCTCAGTGATTGATTGCCTTCAGCTTTGTCGCTCTCATGCATCTCATCCGTTCCACGTGAAAAAAAATATCCCCCCCTCAAAAATTTGTTGACATCATAATCTAGCAGCACTTGCTGCCGCCTGCGTTCGATTTGTCGCCCACGTTGACACCGGGGCCGCCACCTTGCTCATTCTTGGTGTTGTCTACGAGGCGCTTCTTGATATCGGCAGCGAGGCTGTAGAATGCCTTATCAATGTTGATGTTGCTCTTGGCCGAGACTTCGAGAAATGGGATGCCAAGTTCGTCGGCGAGAGCCTGGCCCTTTTCTGTGCTGATGACTCGCTTCTCCTCCCAGTCGCACTTGTTGCCGATCAAGATCTTGTTGACACCTTCGGTGGCGTGCTGTTCTACGTTCTGGAACCAGGTGCGGATGTCTAAAAGAAAAGAGATTCCCGTTAGCATAACCTGCCGAATTATTCACATGTTGTTATTGTGTATCGTGTGGATGTTGCGAAAACCGAATCTGCCCTGTTCGTGGGACCACAGATTGAAACGGGGAAGCGTGGAATACGTAGAAGTGCTGGAATTGCACAGAGAGACATACTGTTGAAAGATCGTTCATCGGTGACATCGTATACTAACAGAATGCCCATAGCGCCGCGGTAGTAGGCAGTGGTGATGGTGCGAAACCGTTCCTGGCCAGCCGTGTCCCAAATCTGCAGCTTGACGCGTTTGCCATCGAGCTCAATCGTCCTAATCTTAAAATCGATTCCGATCGTGGTGATGAAAGAAGGGGTGAACGAGTCCTCGCTGAAGCGTAGCAGGCAGCATGACTTGCCAACGCCGGAGTCGCCAATGAGAAGCAGCTTGATCTAGAATAGGGGCAGAGCGCATGGCGCGCGGGAGAGTCAGTATTGTCAACCGTCATCAAAAGAGGCCTGGGAAGCGGGAAACAGGCTGATCGCGATGGTTTCGGAGGGGGTTCTGGTGTGGCATGTGGGCAAGAAAGGCTCGCAACAGAGCCGAGGGGGAGCAGCGATGCGGCGTTGGAACGGGGAATGGATGGGTGGTTTGGGACAGATGGAGCGGGCTGGGCGTACCAAGAAATCGTAGTTACGATTACTCGACATTTTGGGCGAGGGGAGTCGGCGGACGATAAGATACTAAGTGTCGCAATATGCTGGATGATGGGATGCCGCAGTCGTTTCGAGGTCTCGCAGCGTCGGCGGAGAAAAAAGATTCGAGAAAGTTGGAAGACAAGGTGCGACTTAGGCGAGGTGGGCTGGGGGAGGTCGGACGTTTGAGGTCACCTAACTGTATGTACGGTGGGCGGTGGACGTGGGAGCCGGTGAGTGGGTTGGGTGCAAATGGGTTGGAGGCAAGAGTCAGGAAGGCAAGACGGAGGCACCAAGGCAGCACTACTCGAGCAGTACCTGGTCCTGGCAGGCAACAAGTAGCGGCAAGTCCCATTGCTGGCGACAGGTCCCTAAACCTTAGGGTGGCTGCTAATTTGATAAAGGTGCACGGGGCTGGTCCAGTGCTGGTCGTGCCCCGTGGCGATCCGCACAGGGCGCTCTCACGTCCGTTACAACAAGGACGACTGCTGGCCTCCAGGGATCCACCGCTGTCAGTGTGTGTGCATGTGCTCCGCGTGGCTTGGAGGACACAATCTCGCTTTATTTGTGACAAGTCTTTGATAGGCATTGTTTTTTTATCTATCATCTATCAGCCCTAGATTCCAATGCCGTTGTGAACTTAATCTTCACCTTGTTCATGATGCATCTGCCAGCAACGGATTCCCTGCTCTGCAATAGCATTATGATATCCCACTTGGCTCAATAAGAACACGGTTATCGCTGCTTTCCATCGGCTTCCAACACCCTGTCAGATTTATTTGGTATTTTCTTGGTGGTACCAACTCAGATGTCTATTTGCTCATCAAGTAACAGCATTAGATGTAAGCTTGGGCATTATAAATAGCAGCCTTGCTCCTAAATGATCATCTATGCATGAGATTCTATTCAAACACCTCTCCGACAGTGCTCGTTCAGTGACAAGTTAACAATACTGATTGATGCATGTTCAGTTAATTTCAGATTCTACGTGAAAATTAATTCGCCCTATGAAAGCCCGGTTTTTCCCTTTCGAGTCCATCACTCGCATATTCTGAAACGCCTAATACGTAGAGCTGGCGGTTCTAAATTACAGCACCGTGGCCGTTCATTGCGTCCAATCTCGAATTGCCATGCAATAAATGATTGCACTTGTACTTATATCTCTTAGTCCTGATAAGTTAGCAGGTGCCTGAAACCGTTTTTCCGGCCTGGGCAGATGGCTGGTGGCTGCGGTACGCCCATGTACATGCCTCCCGCCACCCGACAAGTACCTGGGCTATCTCACCCCAACAAGCTCATGGGACAACCACCAGGTGTGGCTGGTCGCAATTAACGTCATCCTCGTCCCAACATGGAAGCGGAGGCGAATTCTACAGGCCAGGAAGGAAGTCACATGGAGCTAGCCAGCCATTCTCTGCCTATTCTGACTCGGTCTCTTGCCGGACTCGGTTCTTGAAATCTCGCAGATTTAGGCTATTCTGGCTTAGTAGAGAAAGCCGAAGTCTAACACGCTCACTTGGGCATTGACTTGTGTTTTGTCAACAAGGTTTGCAACAATACTGAACAGGCACAGATGGTCGATCAAACGATGAAGTCGTTCATAAAGTCACTACATACAGACAAATGGTATCTCCCTATAAGACTCTAGGACCCTAACTACCTGCTTCCCTTCGGACCTTTCCATCTACAGGCTACCAGATTCCCATCAGGCAGCAGGATCGCAGCATGAGGACCCAGATACTCAAGGAGCATCGAAGCGAAACCGCAAGGCGTTCTAGCGTCTTGCGGGAGCCGCGGTGACCGTGACGGTCTGCCAGACGGTCTTGACCTTGGATACGCACTTCTTCAGCGTAGTGCTGGGGAGAGCGGATGAAGATGCCTTCTTGTCCTCAACCTTGGTCGAGACAGATTGGGCAGAGGAAGACTGAGCAGGAGCAGCTGTGGATGTAGCCGCAGGAGCAGAGGTGGTAGCGGCGGCAGCAGAGGTGGTGACGGCAGCAGCAGATGAGGTGGCAGCTGCGGCAGTGGACGATGATGAGGCGGCAGACGAAGAGCCGCCATTTCCGGGCTCACTTCCCCTCGGCTGGTTGTACGGGGCAGGGACGCTGCTGGGGACGTGGGGAGCGACCTCCTTTCCGCTGAAGGCTGGAGTGCCATCATAGTTCTTGTTCTCACATCTCTGGCCGAGAGATTCGCAATAGTTGCCCCAGACGTTGCAGTTCTCGTATCCAACGACGGCCGCTGTGTCCCAGCAGACCTTGCTCTGGTCCCAGCATTCCTGGGCGGCTGCCCAGCAGCTCTTGTTGTCAGTTGCGACTGTGCTGACGGGCTTTGCGCACCAGTTGGCGCTCTTGAGGATGCAGTCGTCGGGGATCTTTCCGGCGTCTTGGGTCTTGCTGACATCATTGCTCGAGCTCGACTCGGGGTAGTAGACCTTGGGGCCGGGGATCTGGTAGGTGGTGGGCGAGGTTCCGTCGTACAGGTTGAAGGTGAGGCCGGGGTGCTTTGCGTCGACGTAGCCAGGGATGCTGACAGAGTACTCGTCGGGAATGCTCAAGTCGCCGGCGGGACCATTCTCGATGAAGACCTGGGCGCAGCCGTGGTAGAACTGAGGGTCGCCCTGGGTAGCCGCGTGCAGGGCGATGAGTTCGGGGCGGATGAGGTAGTAGCCAGAGGGCAGAGCAGAGGGAAGCTTCACAGAGAGGAAGCCGTCGTTGTCGTTCAGGGTCTCGGTGCACCACTTCTTGGTGTCGGCGTTGTAGCCATCTTCCCAGATCTTAAACCAACCGGCCCCGGCGGCAGAATCGGTGAAGATGTCGTTGACCTTCTTGACATAGACCGAGCAGGGACCCTTGTGGCCGCCGTCGATGGCACCGGCCCTTGAATAGTTGGGAGATTCACGGAAGTCAAAGGTGAGTGTAGATGAGCCCTTGGCAGGGCAGATGTACTTGACGGGGGTCTGGGTACCCTCGCGACCTGTTTTGTCACTCGATCAGAAGCTGTCAGAGATGGGGGTCTATGGAACGAGACTTACCACATGCCATCTCCGGCCCGGTGAGTGGATAGATGGGGCTGTTGGACTTGGAGGCGTCCGAGGGAGTTCGCACACAAGTGCCATCGCCCTGGCTCTTGTTGTCGATGAAAAGGTTGCTGAAGAGGGTGTGGGCAGAAGCCACGGAGGCCAAGCTCAGGGCAGTGAAGAAGTATTTCATGGTGGATGTTGTTCGAGAACACTTTCTTTCCGGTTGGAGTAGTTGTTGTTGTTGTTGTTGTTGTTGAGTTTGGATGTTCAAGAAGCCAGACCAGCTCGGGCAGGGTTTGGTATAACAAGCAGCAGCTTCAAGCTGTAAGTGAATGAGAAACTCGGCGAGATGAGAGAACGTCAAGTTCTTTGATCAACAAGGAGTGAATGGTTGAAGGAGTGTTTGACAAAAGACAAGAATGAATGAATGAAAAAAGACTCAGACAAGGACAGTCCGGAAGAAAGTGGTGAAGTTGCCCGCGAACAGAAGGGGTCAAGACAAGGAAGAGACGAGGGGTGGTCGCCATGACCATCTTATAGATCCAACCACCGGAGTTGAGACGATCGCCACGAGGAAATTAAAAAAAGGCATGTGCATGATAACAACCCGTGGACAAGGGATCCCCAGCACGATAAAACAGTGGCTTCTGCCCTTCCAAGGCTTTTTGAAATGAGCCGACTCGCACCAAGATGCAGGTTGGGACGGAAGCCCAATGGCGGACCCCGGAGAGGAGCCTTGGTGAGCGCACATGAAACGCAAGAGGATCGCGCTTCGGCAGTTCCAAGCACTCTTGGCGGGCGGCGACCTGCAGTGGTGCGACTGTTCGGCCCCAGCCCAGGGCCAACAAGCTTATTGTTCGGAACATAAGCGCGGCGTCTTTACCCCTTAGCTGAACATTTTGGCGCTGAAGTGGCCCGGCGCGAGTGTCACGAATTTCCTGATCCTCTTGGCGATAACCCTGCGTCTCGTCCGGTCATGCCCATTCACTCACATCACCCACAGAGGGGCCTGCCCATCCGGCCGACACGTCGTGCCTTTTCCGGAATGTCCTGGCCACGGATCGCCCCATGGTGAACCGTTGCCCATGTCAGTGATCATGTCTAGGATGGCGAGAAGGGGGGCTGTAGCAAAACGCCCACGGAGACACTTAATTAATCTAGGCTGCGCAACCAACGATTTTCAGGGCGCTTCCGTGATTGGCAGACGGGGCTGGCTGGACGAAAACGCAGAGGGAGCACAAAGCGCAACAAAAAGAAAAGGGCACTTCCACTTGGTGCGGCGGTTCTGGGTGCCTTGCATGGCGACCTGCACAACGACGGCGCTAACAATTGACCGATTGGCCTGGAGCGAGATTTGCTGGTAAAAGCAGGAGCTTAATAGCACGTCGGAGGTCCATGCGAATGTAGCCAAGACATGGGAAAAGGCAAGACGCACCCGACTCGTGCTTTGATTCTTCTCCCGAAGAGTACGCACCACCACGTATCCTGTAGTGGCCCGTTGATCACCACGTAAAACAAGGGGGCATCCATCCCAATGCACTGCATGTCGTTGTACCCGAAAGGATGCGCTGATTCACGTCATGGACCGGATGAACAGAGTGAAGTGGCAGTAACTGGAATTGTGACCAGACATGAGTGGAGATTTCGTAACAGCAGGTTTTCCTCTATACACATAGACCAGTTGATTCTCCAAGCGAGACGCTTCCCTCCTTGTACATGGCCCATGAACCGTACATTACACACACCAGCCTGGGCAACGAAAATGGGACCTCCACGTCGTCATGTCTTTAGCTTTTTTTTATATTCTCCTGAAATACTAGATGGTACATTATGGTACACGGGGCGGTAGGGTATCGTATTTATTCGTTGATCTTGGCCAGAATCCTGCAGAAACACTCGGTTAGCCTGTGCTCCCATGCCCGCATGTACCAGGGCCAGGGCAATACACCGGTGCGGAAACAAACTTACTCGCTGTCACGGAAGAGCTGGTACTCCTCCTCACCGGCCTTAACGGGGGAACCACCAAACTATACAAGCCAATATTAGTACAAGGTCCATAGACATCCAATCGGCAGTATCCAAAGGAAGGGGACAAGAAAGCTATCAGAAAACTGTGTTCCGCTTCCCCTCCTTGCTTTGCATATTGATTTGATTCCGAAAGATCGGTGTGGCATACCTGAGGAATGAGGACACGATCGCCGACAGCAACGCCCATGGGAAGGCGGTTGCCCTTCTTGTCGAGGAGGCCGGGGCCGACGGCCAGGACCTTGGCCTCGTTCAGCTTCTCGACGCTGGACTCGGGCAGGAAGATGCCGCTGGCGGTCTTGGTCTCGGCCTTGACGCGCTGGACCAGGACGCGGTCCAGGAGGGGGGCGAGGGCACGGATGGATCGGATGGAGGTGGCCTGTGTCAATTCGCATGTTAGTCCATTCCAACCACCAGACGTCGTTTCGTCGTAGAGTGTGAAGCAAAAGATTGCCGAGGATATACGCCCGCCGGCGATATCTGGGAGGTTCGCCCACCGGCTCTCCCAGGCGGGAGGGACGAATTGGTGGGAATGGTTGAGTTGTTGGCACGTACCATTGTGATGGTGGTTGTGTAGTGTAACGAGTTACGGGATTGATGCTGATGCGGAGGAGCGAAGTTCGGAAGAAGGAAGAGGAATTTGACTGAAGCTATTCGGCAGTGGAGCTCTATTCCAACAGCTTCCAGAAAGCCCAGGCAAGTTTTTTCCCACCACCTCGGGATCGGATTTCCCCGGCTCCGGTATCACCAACCTTTCCCCACGATCAGATCGGATATCGACCCCCACCTTGTTCAGCCGTCGGTGCTGCGCGCTCCTCAAGAGGATCTTTAAACCAAGTCAAATATCCAAGAAACCATAAAGATATCCATCCATTCCGTAGAATCCTGTTTTTTCTTGCCTATGGTTGCCTTTCTTGGTAGATGATACCTTTTAGACCGGCATAGCGTCTCAGCAGGAAGTAGTTGTTCAGGTTCGGCCTCGGCAGATCAGCAGGATCAACCACACACATCATTTCCAATCCAGCTTACGAATCGGGTAATCAGCCTCTACTCCTTGCCAGAGCTATGTCTCAGATTTTATCCTCCAATTTCGCCTTCTGCATACACGAAGCCATTGATTAGTGCCGGTGCTTGTGTGGGTGAATTCGATCACCCAAAGTGTGAAAGCCTTGGACGGACGAACACGAGGCACAGTTATCCTCACTGCTTCTGAAAAGGTATCCATCTCTCTCGGCGTGCTTCTTTGACCAGCCATTTGGTCCGGCGATTCACACTGCCCTTCACTTTCAACTTCGAGTTGATACCCTTGTGGTCCAGTGGATGATGATACAAGGTGCGCGTAAAGCTAATGCGTCTATTCATGCCCCTATATACTCCTTTCTCTGAAACCACCTGTTGTGTAATGACTCCCTGAGGAGAATGAATGTCTGCACCTATCTAGGCAATATTGCGCCACACGAGCCGCTGCTGTCTGTCATCCCATTCTGCCGTTGTAACCCAAAAAATAAACCAAAAGAAAAGGAAAAGGAAAAGGGGGCATCAAATCGTTTCCAAAGGGGACTATTCCCAGTATGATGCTCCCGTCGCTGAATATCCTACAATTATTTTCCTCCGCCACACAAGGCGGGCAGCATCACATATGTGCAGGGAACTATGGTTTGGGCTGTGGCTGGGCGCTGGGCGGCTCCAGCACATGTTCGTGGTCGCAAGCAGGGATAACCTCTCCGCTGTCCAGCTGCTGGCAGATGATAGTGTCTGCGACCCAGGGTTCGGCCAAAATTTCATCCATGGTAGCTCTTTTCTTTGGGTCCATTTCGAGCATTCTCCAAATAATATGCCGGCTTTCTCTAGGGAGCAAGCGCAGAATTCTCCATGGGCCTCTGATGACCTCCTTCTTCTCACCCGACGGTTGCTGAGACTGCGATGAGGAGGGCTCTGCCTTCTCAGTCTTTTCTGGCTTCGCGCTCTTCTCAGTCTTTTCAGAATTCTCCGCCGTTTCAGCCTTGTCGGTCTTTTCCGGGTTTTCAGTCTTTTCGATCTTTTCAGGCTCTGGAGCCTTGGTTGCAGTAGACTCTCCGCGCTTGTGATGGTGCGAATGAGCATCATTGTGGTGCTGGTCAGAGTAGTGCTGGCTCTCGTGGTCACCAGGCTTGGGCGACATCATAAGCAACTCCGCCGATCGCTTAGATTTGTAGACCAATGCCGCAGGGTCGTGATCAGGCGTTGGCTCAGATGCAAATAATTTAAATGAATTATCTGTCATTCGGGGCAACTTCCATGGGAAGCGCCGGAGAGTCATGCAACAGAAGATGATGGCAAGCGACCAAATGTCAACTGGAGGCGCATCATATTCCTTAGATTCATACACCTCCGGCGCAAGGTATGGATCAGAGCCAACAATACCTAGAGAGCGGTTAGTTCTGCACACTTCTTGTTCAGAGTGGGGAACGTGGCATACCTTTGGCTGGAACCGCGTCAGTTTCAAATGGATATTTGAAGACATGTGCGCTACCAAAGTCGATGATTTTCATGATCCCTTTGTCACTGACGACCACATTGTCCAGTTTGAGATCGCGATGAGCCAGGCCCAAACTATGAAGGTATGTGAGACCATTCAAGATCTGTAAGAAGCAGCAAGTGATTTCCTCGCGTGACATCTTCCCCGTCATGACAATCGCGAAAAGGTCAAACGGCGCATATTCCATGACCTCGTACCACCGTCCCTTCTCGTGCAATATGTCCAGAGTTTCAATGATATTGCCATGGTGCAGAGTTGACCCCACACAGAACTCCGCCGTCACCTTCTTGTTGTACTCCTTCTCGCTCTCATAGGTATGTCTGGCGCGGAACTCCTTTACGGCGAACACAGTACCATCATCCTTACGTTTCATCAACCTCACAGATCCACCAGCCCCAGAACCTAACACCTTGCCGATCTTACCGTACTTGGAGGACAGCCCATGATCATCTCCGAACGGAAGCTGTGTAGATGACCGGGCACCGGGGGGCGTGTTTAGGCCGTTTGTAGACGAGTATGGTGTGGCCACTTGTTTGGACTCCCGTTTTTTATGGCTGCCTCCCTTCTTGAAGAACCGCTTGAGGTCTGCCATTGAGCCATGGCCTCCGTGCTGGTGGTGACCATGGCCGTGGTGTTGAGTGGTGGGCACACCCCGTTCGCTGGCAGTGTCGTCGCTCGTACTCTTTCCAAAAATACCAGACGATCGCTTTTCCGTCAGGCTCATCTTAGAAGAGCTTGGAGATGGACCATGCTGTTTCTTCTTCTTCGTGAAAATGAAGCGCGGGTCAATCGAGTGTCGTCCAGATTGCTGAGGAGGACGCCGGCCCTTGGCATACGGATCATTCGCATCTCCGCCGGGAGTCATCGGTTTCGAATAAAAGTTGGAAGCTGAAATGCGCGAAGGGCTCGATTCTCGGGACACGGGAACAGATCCTGCGGGCCTACCCATAAGGCCTCTTCGGTGTGACGTGAGTTCCTGGTGCCTTTCCTCGGCGGAGGCAGATCGCTTAAAGATCTGGTCTGAAGATGCAGGTCGGTGTGCGAGAGGTACTCGCTGGCCCAGCGAGGGGGATTTTTCGTTTGATGATGAGGGTTGGGGAGTGATTGACTGGTAATCGTCGACTGGTGCAACCTGAAGAGATGGCTTCATCTTCTCCTTCTCCGGGGAAAGAGCTGATCCTGCTGGAGTGAGCGGCGGTGATGCCATTGCTGACAGCCTCGGGCTGCCATGAGGCGATTGGGGGAACTGTGCGGATGAAGGCGTAGGAAGCGTCGAGTGGCCAGGCGAATCTTCGTCTCTTGATGGAACCTACAATGACGAGTCAATCGAAAGAAATACAGACGCAAGAAACAGGACGCTTTATCGTTGTACACATGCTGAGAAAAGGAGTATACAAAAGGTAGCGCTGACCCGAGAAATTGGGCTTGCGAAGAGAAAAAACTTGGCATGATGGCACGGACATTGAAGACCCTTGTGCCTTGGGTTGTTGGGGCAGACGTACTCTTGAGGGTGGTAAAGAAAACGGTTCGAAGTGATAGGTATTGATGCGGCGTTCCTGTAACGGAAGGGCTTGTAGCGATCGTGTAACATCTTTCAAATCTTCGGCTGAGACAGAGGCTGACGGCTGAGGTTCCTGTTCCTGACTCTGTGCAGGTTCCTCTGGAGGGCTCGTTAACGGTGTTGGGCCTGGGTTAATCTCCTCGACCGCCGAGGAGAAGCGAACAGCGGGCACGTCATTTTGGGACGGCGCATTGACACTCAGTGACTGGTCGTTTTCCTTGGGCACCTCGGGGACTATTCAAAAGACCTGGTGAGCAACACGATACTACAAGATATCAAGGTGCGGATATCGCAAGAGAAGTTGCGACAATCAAGGTGGGGCATTTTGGTCGAATTGATTCGGAAGGGTCGGGAAGATAGCAACGTACCAGAGGCGTCCTTCTGCTGTTCTTGGTCTGACTGGGCTAAGGCCATGTTGTCGAGGGGAGCCTTGGCCCAATGCTGGCAAATTCGTTGGGGAGAGGGGAGGATGGGGGGGAGAGAAAGAAAGAAACGAGCGGCGACAGCGGACAGAGCTGGAGGATAAGAGTGTCGGATGATGGTGTTGGTGGGATGGATGGCAGCTTTTCCTGCCTGTAAGTACTGCGGGCAACAGGCAATTACTGGGGATTGGGAAAAGCTGGAACAGAAGGTACTCGTCAGTGTTAGTGGGGCTTGCACCACCTCGGTCCCACACGCAAGCATCACTCACTCTCCATCCGTCATGAAGATGCGAAGAAAGTGCTGTTCTGGCTGTTGGCGCCTGAACGGGCAGTCTGTGTGTGGCCTCGCTCCATCCTTCACACCTCCGGCAGGCGAGGTGACATTTGGAGAGCCAGCCAGCTGGCCGTGACAGCCCGGTAAGGCGGCCCTCTTTGAGTCTCTGGCTACCACTTGTAGGTATCCTACCCCAACTCATGCACCCCCCATGTTTATTAAGAGATCCTCCCGGGGGATCCCCGTCATCCATCCGTCATCACTGATAGGCAATGATTGGGCTGCAGAGTCACAGTATCTTTGCACCAGCCAATCTGTAGACATCAGGAGTACAAGTGGACCAGCAGCATTCATCTTACAGCGCATGTGCGTTATCGTTGAGCTCCATTCTCACATGCGAACAGTAAGCATAGGTATGCTCCGCGCCCGAACCCGGCAAAAGAAGTGACTCTTCTGCTGACCGCGGGTCCCGTTCTGAAAAGCGGTTAGAAACCTTCTAGGTTAGTACTAACGCTGGGTGCAAAACAACGGCAGAATTTTCTCGAGCTTTGCTGGTGGCTGGCTGTTTCGGGCACGGCAAGACCAGCCGAGCCGATCAGGCCAAACCAAGGCACCGATGCCTCTTGTGCGGCAAACCTTATTAGATAACCTTGCTAGCACGGCGGATTGATTAATCGCCAACTATTATATCCAGCTGCTTCCAAGGTATGCAGCTCGGTACTGCCGGCAAAGGGGCATCACAGCACATAGCAGTACCGTAATCAATATTGCGAAAACACCAAATACCTCAAGGAAGAGAGTACCGATTTTTCCGCGGAGCGCTTATGAACGTGCAGCTGTGGTTCGTCCCGAGGCGAGGTCCCTGTCAGAAGTTCCATCGGCCCCTCGCTGTAGTAGGACATGGACTGGGCACTACACCATGCCATCGTGCCTGCTACAGGTCTTCCCTTCCGGGACATCCAGAAATACCCCAACTATCCGGGTGGGTGTCTATATTGGGCGCAAATATTATGCTCATGTTTGGAGTAGGGTATATGAGGAACGATAGTATTAGATCTCGTCAAAGTAACGCGCATAGCTATAATGAAGTCATTGAGGGTACCTGGGTAGTGTAAGTAGCTCCTCGTCCGCGTCACTAGGCTTCGCCAATACGATTTCGCAGCGCGCTCCGCTCGTCGGGTTCTTAGCGGGGACCGGTCGCTGGTCGCAGGGTCTCATCCAAGCCGAAGAAGGGTGCATCCGCAAACACGGACCACCGCAGAGAGGCATCGGGCCCTTCGGACGAGCCGTGAATCCATATAAACAATTCTCAGTATCATTGATTCAACCTAGATATCAAAACTGAATGGCGTCAAGGCGCCCACTTCCAATCCACTTTGTTGCGTATTGCTGTTGTCGGGTGTGAACAGAAAGGATAAAGTAGGAATGGTAAGTTCTAGTTCCTTGGCACTTGGTCGTTGCCTACCTGCACAGATTCAGTAATAACAGTTTTCCGGCTACCTATTTGCAGTCGCTTCGTAGTTTGATTCACGACCTAGGCAGCATTAGCAAATTTACTATCATGAAGAAGTTTCCCGTCCTTTTCCTCCTTTTTCTTGGGTTTCGTATCCTTTAATATAAAATTGAAAGCATTGGATGTAGCTTCAGAGTTTCGCAGTAGGGCATCGTCAATGCCCTCCAACTCAGAAATGACACTGAGTGCTGTGACTTGCATCATTCTGCCAGACTTTTCACCGGGTTCCTCGCGACAAATACGAAACGAAATTGTTGATCATCCAGGATATTCTCAAATCCTTCATACGGTTATATTGGGCTTCAAGAGTCAAAGACATCCGCAACCTTCCCCTGGTCCTACTAATAACACTCAAGGCACGTCTGAGTTGCCATTGTGATTTTAGTTACGATCGCAGCAACTAAATCCATGCGCTGTCATCCATCCTAGGCGTTGTTTATAGGCTCTGTACAAATTCGACGCATGTTACGTCAAGAGTAGTGTTATCCGTCCACATTAGGGACGACAAAAGCCGGAGGAAATACATGCCAACAATGTAATAAGGAGATCCATTAGTAGGGCCGCAGTCATATGCAACAAGGTAACACCGTTAGCTATCAGGCATTTGCTTCACTAAATTGTCCCATCTTGTCGCTTGCACATTTTCATAAGTTATCGTTCAATGAGGATCATATACAAGGGGTCAGTCACTCCAGTCCCGGCGCTTTGTTGTACACTAAATAATACATGCCGACGACCGCAAACCCAACGCCAGATATTCATTCAGTCCTAAATTCAAGCCACAACATCTATTCCCATCGATTTGCACTGGAAAATGATTGATCGGCAGAGTCCCTCCAGTGATAATCCGGACAATCGAAGTTCAGACTGCTTAATCTTTGCGATTTCATAAATGTGCTTCAGGCTCACAGTTCCGATCGACTCGTGGCCAGGTTTTTGTGCTCCCTTTCTTCCTTTCTTTCCCACGGGTGCATTGGCGGCGTTTTTCAAAAGCCATGATGTCTGGGGCGTTCGCAGGTCGAAGACAAATGATCGGTCAGGACGGACAGTGACACGGCAAGGCATAGGAGTGCCGACGACGATGTGTGCAGTTCTGGCATTAAACTCCTATAGGAAAGCAAAATCGTCAATACACGTCGAGTCTATGCCTCGAGCAATGGCTCCAAGCACAACTATGAAGTGGACTTACCTTGCAAAAGTCCATGGACTTGACACCTTTACTACCAAGCGCAGGGCCGACTGGGGGACTAGGACTGGCCTGTCCGGCTCCAACTATGAGCTTCACGATCTGGTCGACAGCGCCGGCTCCTCGTCCTTTCGACATTGTGGCGGTTATGTGGTGATATGGGGTAAGGCGGGCGTAGAGGTCGAGCAGGAGTCTCCCGCAATTGAAGATTTTGGAGCTTGTCGCGATTGATCAATCCACGGCAGGGGTCTTCGCAGTCTCCACTATCTACTGCCAGCCCCACCCCAAGTTTCCTCGATAACAAAAAAATTTGGACCTGCATCGTTCTCTAGCATCATATCCTACCAGTGTAGTTGTATTTTCTATTTGAAATACCACAACTTTTGCCCTCGCCCGGTGTCACAAGGGAGCGGCCAACTCACTACACCAACTATCTTCGGATGACCGCCCGTTGTATTCATTAAGCGATCACATCTGGAACCAATCAATCACACGCGACCGCAATGCCATCGACCTATAAGAAGGACAAACCGTGGGATACGGACGATATCGACAAGTGGAAGATCGATGTTTTCAAGGCCGAGGACAACGTTGGGGGGTCATTTGTTGAGGAGTCGTCGTTCGCTACTCTCTTCCCCAAATACCGCGAAGTCTACCTGAAGGAGGCCTGGCCTCTAGTAACAAAGGCATTGGAGAAGCATGGCATCGCATGCACCCTCGATCTCGTAGAGGGTTCCATGACCGTCAAGACTACCCGAAAAACATATGACCCTGCTGCTATTCTTAATGCCCGCGACCTGATCAAACTGCTTGCGCGCAGTGTCCCGGCCCCGCAAGCCCTGAAAATCCTCGAGGATGGTGTTGCCTGCGATGTCATCAAGATCCGCAACCTTGTCAACAACAAGGACCGCTTCGTCAAGCGACGTCAAAGAATTCTGGGCCCTAATGGGTCTACTCTCAAGGCTCTTGAGCTTCTCACCCAGACCTACATCCTCGTCCACGGCAACACAGTATCGGCAATGGGCCCGTACAAGGGCCTCAAGGAAGTGCGCAGGGTAGTGGAGGACTGCATGGCCAACATCCACCCGATCTATTACATCAAGGAGCTTATGATTAAGAGGGAGCTTGCAAAGGACCCTGAGCTCGCCAACGAGAGCTGGGACCGTTTCTTGCCCAACTTCAAGAAGAAGTCACTGAGCCACAGACGTGTGCCTCACAAGGTTACCGACAAGGCCAAGAAGACATACACGCCGTTCCCACCTGCTCCTGAGAAGAGCAAGGTTGACATGCAGATCGAGTCTGGCGAGTATTTCTTGAGCAAGGGTGCCAAGGAAAGAGCAGTTCAGGAAGACCGCAAAGAGAAGCAGAAGGAGAAGAAGAAGGACAGGGCAAAGGAGCGAGAGGCTGAATTTGTTCCACCAGAGGAAGGTGACCGTCCCAAGAAGAAGCGGAAGAAGTCTTCCGAATAAACAAAGCAAAACGAACCTGTATTTATTTTCCTTCGTCTCGGCGTATTCAAGGTATGGAGGCATTAGGCAGCATAAAGACATTTCTCTTTGAACAAACTAATTAGTACACAATACGGATGACTCGATTTCTAATCGGAGCCAGTTCAGGGAAAGTTATGAATTCCTAGGCATATATCTCCTTATTGAACCCATTCTATAGCGCTCCAACACCCGGGATACCCGTTCGGTAGTTTCTCTCATAGCTTTGACGATTCGGTGCCATTGATCTCAATGACGAGCTTGCCAAATTGTGAGCCAGCCTTCATTTCCGAAAACAATCCATTGATAGCCTCGAGGTTATCGAGTCCTTTCACGCTTCGACTGATGACTGGGCGAATCTTGTGCTTGGAAACAAACGTGACCATGTCCTTGAATTCCCTGGTCGACCCCATTGTCGAACCTTTGAGCTCGATATTATTCAACACTCCGAGCATAGACCAATCCATCTTGGGTCCCACGGTCATGCCATACTGTGAGATGACACCACCAGGCTTGAGGAGCTTGACCGCCTTGGCCACAATATCGCCTCCTGCGCCATCAATTATGGCGTCAACAAACGGTCTATCCTTCGGAAGGAGTTCTCGCAACTTGGCCTCCCATTTCGGCTCCTTATAGATAATGCCACCCTTGGCGCCTAGCTGCTTCGCCTTTTCGATTTTCTCTGGGTCACCAGAGGTGACAAATACATTCGCGCCAAACGCAACTCCGAACTGTAGAGTCTGGAGGGCCACTCCGCCCCCGATCCCTGTAATGAGGATATTCTTCCCGGGTGCTGCGGCGTTTGTCTTGGTGACCAGCGCGCGCCATCCTGTCAACCCTACAAGCGGCAGAGCGGCACCTTCGACTGCTGAGAGGTGGTCGGGTGCCACCACCACATCCTTCTCGCTGACGACAATGTAGTCCTGGGCGGTCCCGGCTGGTGTGATCCGGCTGGAGCCAATGACTGCGTAACTGCGCCCGCCGTCAGGGCCATCTGGGTCTGATTCCCAACCCCGCATGGGGGTCAGCAGCACGCTTTTGTTGAGGAGCTCGGGCTGAGCGACGTTGCTTCCAAGCTCGACGACGGTTCCATAACCATCTGCGAGCATGGGGTTGTCGAATGAAATGGCAGGATACAGGTGCTGGCGGATGAATAGGTCACGGTGGTTCAGGGCTGCCGCTGATATCCGTACTAGAACCTCGCCGTTCCCAGGTTTTGGTCGAGGGTCTTCCCGCAGCTGAAGCCTACTAAATGTTAGGCTATGAAAAGTCATGAGAGTTCAACACTATCAGGGCACGCGAACATACGGGTAATAGACTTCACCGGGCTTCCCAGCAACTTGTTTTATATGAAGCACTCGAGACATGGTTAATCAATCCCCAAGCCGAAATACAGTCAGCGATTCTCGATTGAAGATTGAAGAAAATCAAGGTAAGGTTGGTAGCTTTACTATGCTTCAATAATCTGATAAAGAAAGGAGGAGGTTACTTAGGGATCACACAAGCTAAATACGAAGTAGGTTGGCTGCATTACATCCATGTACTGTGTTGTCGGGTAGCTCGATGATTAGCTAGCAACTATTCCCCGCCCTCGGCAGTCAATTCATCAACCGAGGCAGTTCGTTAGAGCTCATATGCCATCTAAGTTTTCCTCTTATCCGGGACTCAAGTTTCAAAAGTGTAAGAAGCCTTATTTCTTTTAGAAACTTGCCCCGTAGAAGTAGCTTATCCAATTTCTCCCTTCTATTGCGACTTAACGCAACCTTACATGCATTCCTGAGGTATTTTATACTACCCTATACCTTTGACTTACATTAACATCTTGATAGGATAGTGGCAAATTGATTAATGTCCTGGTAGAATTTCTGTTCATATTTTCAGATAATCAGTTGAAATCGGCATCAAATTTTTCATTGATTATGCATATTCTCTGTCCTGGAAAGGTTGTGATGTGTTCTTTGAAATTGGAAAGACTCCTCCATGGTGAGCGCGCACTAGCCCCATCTTTCCACATGAGCGACATTGGCGAATCTTATGAGTCGTGATACTCTTCCCTAAAAGAAACCCATTTATCGCCATTTCCAGAACAACAATTCAAACTGGGCAAGAAACCAAGAACTGAGTACCCAATTAGCCATGGCTACGTTTCTGTCTGGCGCCGCCTTTGGAGCTGGAATCTTTGCTGCTGGCCTCCATCACCCGTCAGTGGTTGCTTCACAGTTGAAGTTTGAGAACCATCAATTCTTGCAAGCCTTTCTCACAGCAACAGCAAGCAGCGCGTTAGAGACCTTAAGAGCGAACTTGTATCGGATTCAGCTAATCTTGATGCAGCATCATCTATAGCGCTGTTGAACGTCTGGGGTTTGTGAGGCTTCAGCCCAGAGGACCCTCGTCCCTCGGGTTCTTTGGAAGGTTTGACGGCAATGCAATTGGGGGCGCTCTTCTCGGTGCCGGCATGGCGCTATCGGGGTCAGCACCAGAGACATTGCTCGTGCAGGTCGCGGCTGGAGTTCGTAGCGGCCTCTTCGCCCTCCAGGGAGCAATTTTAGGAGGCGCTTTATGGGCAGGTCCCATTAGCACGGCAGTAAGGAATCGCAGGCAGAATATCGTTGTTCAGGGTGGTGTGGCCACCTTAAATGACCAGATAGGAGTATCCAAGCCTTTTGGGTTGGCCATATTCGAGCTCGTCTGCGCAGGTGCCGTGGTAGCGACAAATGCTTTCTCTGCCAACCCAACCCGATCCAAGGTCTCAGGTGCCGTTGGTGGCCTACTTCTCGGTGCTGCACAGCTCTTTTCTCTGCTTTCGCGAAAATCCATGATGGGTATCTCTGGGTGCTACGAGGAAGCTGGAAATATCTTCTGGTGGCTTGTGAATGGGGCAGACAGCACCAAGAAGCCTGGGCATGGCTCGATCGTCTTCGGCACCGGGCTTGTCACAGGGGCATTCGGCATGGCATATTTGGCACCCAAGCTGGGTGGAACTTCTGCCTGGGAGCCAACGCCTCTCCTGGCAACTCTGGGGGGTGTTTTGATGGCCGTTGGATCGAGACTGGCTGGAGGCTGTACCTCCGGACACGGGATTAGTGGCATGTCACTACTGTCGACATCGAGCTTGGTCACCATGGGAAGTGCCCTTATCGCGGGCTCAGCAGTATCTTTGCTGAGACTTTGAAGATATTCTCTTATTAACACTTGATAAGCCTTGCTCCATTGCACGAACACCTACTGTTTTGCACACCCCTTTTTGGCTGTCACTTCGATCTCAATCTTCATTTCCTCCTTCATCAGCTTTGATTCAATCATCATCGCCGCCGGACGGACGTCCCCAAACCACTTCTTCAATACTGGCCATGTCTTGGGGAAATCCTCGCGATCTGGAAGAACGTATTGCACACGCACAACCTCAGACATGGACGACCCGGCCTCCTCAAGGGCCCTGGCTATATTGACGAGAGTTTGCTCTGCCTGCTCCTCAACATTGGCTGATATCTTTCCGGACTGGTAGTCGTACCTACACAAATTTTGTCAGCTGATTGGCGAGAGGGGTTCAGTTTCCCATTTCTTGTTACCCGGTTGTGCCAGAGACCATCACCCAGCCATCGACGACAACGGCGCGGGAATAGCCAATCTCGGCTTCAAAGGCAGAGCCTGAGCTGATATTAATTCGCGACATGATAAACGTAGTTGATCTCAAGGTTGGATCTGAGTGATATTCCACGAGGTTTAGAAAGAGAAAACCAAGCGAGACAAAAGTTACTTATACCATCTCGATGACTCAGTATGTTATCTGTATGTGGGGTTAGTAGGCATCTCCGTATCCGGAGGAATACGAATCGCCCAACTCATCTCGCAGTTGATGCTTATGAGGAATTGATAATTTGAATTCCCATCGGTTTCTTATCTCAAAGAAGACCTGCCCACTCACTTAAATTATATATGGAAATGCAAGATATGGCACACTTGGAGAGGTTGTATCTGGGGCATTGCATCATCTCGTCTAAAGCTGAGTGTTGTACATAATTTTTTACATTTTAATACATCTGGAAACTCTCTCATCTCGAACTTTACCTCTGGTTTTACTTGTTCCTCTCATTGATGAGTTCTTTGACCAAGGGGGCGAGGATTTTGCTCTCCACAACCTTGTCTTCGGTCGCACCCTTGATCCGCTTGATCACATCTGGCATGAGGGTCTTGGTCTGAGCGCCCTCCGCGATGGACAATTCGATTTGCTCCTTGATCATTGGACGGAGCTGCTCCTCTCCCAGGACCTCAAGCTTGCTCTTGACGATGTACTCCTCCATGAGCTTGGCCTGCTCGAGCTCCTTCTCGGCTAAATCTTCCCGACCGACCTTCTTGGCTTCTGCAGCGGTCTCCTCGATGGAACGCTTCATCTTCATAATCTGAATCACGAGCTGGGGGTCTGTCCTAATGGGAGTCTTTGTCTTGGAAGCATTGAGGTTCGCGGAGAGGATGGCGCGCAGAACGGCAAGACGAGGGGCGTCTTTGGCTCGCATGGCAGTCTTGAGATCGGTCTTGAGATGTTGGAGATATGGCGCGCTCGCCGGGGTCTCATTGGCAGCGGCCTCGGAGTAGAATCGTACTGCTTGCCATGTTCGAGGTCGGTAGGAGGCTGTGGGCACTGAGGGCCGAATGACTTGGAAGGCGCGCAGGGATTGACGAGACGCCATTGTCGGGAATGAATAGATTGGAGCGGGGTGAGGTCTAGTTCGGATTGCTTCCTGTGCCTCTTAGGCTAAGAAGAACCCAGCAACGATTTGGCCGTTGGAATGGTGTTACGATTGGATGAAGGTGGATGCAAGGTGAAGCTCTCTACTGCTGCCAAGGCCCCATAAAAAAGTTATGAGTTGGGGTTGCGTCTTCTAGATCCACACTCACTTTGAACTAGCACATCAAAGCTATCGGCACTGGATTCGGTCTATTGACTTAACAATGGGAAATTATGTGTATAAAATCTCGGAAAATAAATCATTTGCTATTGATACTGTGGCGGTTTTTATCTACTAAGTAATACTGGTTCTGTAGCTTCTACGACAGCAGTGTGCCGTGTGTCCGAATTGCTGGTTACCTATATACGGAGTACAGCTAGTGGCTGTATGTGCATCTACAAGCCAGGAATTCCTTTGGGGAAAGACAAGAGGATGGGGAACACAGGCGTGTGAACACCGCCACCCACCCAAGATATCAGAATCCCACTGGTAGGTAGGATGGAAAGAACGAGCGGAAAGGTGGTAGCGCTGCCTTTTTGAAGGCAAGGCATCATCTTGATGGAACCTTCTTATATGAAAACTGATATATCTTAACTTGGGTTAAAAAAGAATATCTTATCTGGAGGAAAGAGGTGTTGAAGTCGGTATCAAGGTTCATAGGGCTGGACAAGAGAATGAAGTGAGCTAGGATTTTAGGGTAAGTAACACACAATCAATAGAAGACAGGAGGTAGAGGGATATTTGCTTTTTTTCCAGAAAGACATCCTGACCCTTGTCGGGCATCTCCAGTGTTGGTCGTCTTCCTATCTTGAGCGAAATAATTTACAATGCCTGGTGTAAACCCCCCTGGTCTTGCCCTTTTCGCATGGATCTAGTCGTACCCATACTTGGTCACGTCGACGCAGACTGACGGGTCCATCATTGCAACTCAATTGGCGCGCGATCAATACTGGAATACCCTCATTCTAAAAGTCATTGACCGGAATATTTGGTACTGGCTCACAAATGGTTTGCTGTATAATATGAAATGCACATGGCATTCCTCATCACCTGACCGGTTTGCTCCTGCACAATAATCCACTAAGAGCTAGGGTGAGCCGCGGAAGCATGCCGAAACTAGGATGACACTCAAGACAGGACGCATTTAGCATACTGTTATACAGGGCTGGTTCAGGAGAGCTGTTGAACTTGGGCAGGGAAAGTTTTTTTTTATCGGTGATTTGTCCTTTCGACTCATCATTTGGTGCCATCCAGTGGCCAGGGACGGGAAGTAGAGCAAGGCTCAAAGATGTTCTTCATGGAGACCTTGCGGATGTTGAGAGCATCAACGCGTTCGGATTGGGCATCAATCATAGATTCGACACTCCAAATTGTGAGGCTGGGGACGTGCAGGTATGTTTATCCCGACGTTGTGTTTGAGTCAGGTTTCCCGCCACGAAGAGTGAGGGTTTTGAACCTGCAGATTCACAAGTAGTCAAAGGAATCTTTGACATCGATTTGTTCGTGTTGGGCTTCGGGAATCTGTAATTAAAACCTAACCCAATGAGATGTGACGAATGTGATTCGGGCTGCAGGTCTCCATCTCTACCTGGTCCTAGCCCGACGGCAACGAGGCCTGCCGCGTACTAAGTCCAAGCCAAGAGAGGAGATAATAATCTCCGTAGCCCATCTTCAAGATAGGTATGCTCAGCTGTCATCGTGGCTTCTCCCCGCGACCAGCACAAATAGATGCCGATCGCCTGCTTTGGCGCATTGCGTGTGGCGTTCTGGTCCTGCATACAACATAAAGCCAGACGCCATTCGAGCACAGCCGCAGAATAACATGCCAATGTATGTACTAAGGCAAGGCTTTTATTGATTGTCCTAGGGGTATACAACTGCTGGAGCCACATTTCATCCCTATTGCCGTGTTCAGTACCGAATAGTCCCTGGATACAACGCACATTTTCATCCCTTTTTACCTTGGTACCCTCCCAACCTCCAAAAATAATGTTCAGCTTGCCGCCATAGACGGCAAGGTAAGACAAGGTGTTTAGGTGCCATGCTGCCCGCAGTACTGTGCCTGGAGACCACTGCGACATCGGGGCAGGGCTCGAGGTAGTAGGTATGATGCCTTTGACAGGAAGGTGGTGCCCATTCTTTCCGACCCACGGTCTTGCTCCCTCTTGCTCTGAATGTTGGTTGGTGCCTGCCCAAACCCTTTCTCCCACCAAAAACCCCCTTCCGTCTCTTTCCCCCTCTTATACCTCACAATCTATACGCGATCCCCCAAAATTATTGAAATGCTGATGCCTAGGTGGTGGTCATCTCCAGCGTTGGGCTACCCAGAGAACTGCGTCCGCAACCTCGCTCATTACCTCGCTCGGCTTCTCGGTTTCTTTCCGATGCACACGTATCTTTATCTAACTGTTAGCCCATAATACGAGACCGAAACATGACTGCTCCTTACAATGGAAAGTATGCCTATATTCGAACCGTTCGTGGTCAGCAGCGTGTCTGGATAGAGGTTGGATATCGGGGATTCCCACCTTGAACGACGGATCATTGGCCTCCGCGCTTGCATCTTCAACCAAAATTTCAAATTCTTCTATCGGCATTCTGTTCAACCTTGTCAGTGGATATTTTCATCGCGTTTCGTTTGGGGCTCGCCATCAACCCTTTTAAATGCACCATGGGATATAAACCGATCGTATGCAGCAAATTTCGGATGGTGCCCGCCATTGCTTGCCCAATTGCTCGGTCGCGAGGGCCTAATTAGAGGATTCAGCATTTAATTCGAATGAGCTTTCATCGTGGCACGGGGAACTTACTGCTCGACCAGCCGCACATGGGGAGTACCAGCAGCTTCGACTCAACCTCCGTGAAGCCGGCGTTGCGCATCCAGTTGGCGATTTGCAATGGTGCCCGGGGGTTCTTATAAGGCTGTACTCCTTGCAAGTAATTACTTGACCATTTCGAGAGCGCATGGTCTGCAAGAAGTGACCACACTTGGTTAGCCATCGGCACTCTCCTGTGGGAAGCTTTAGCCTACCCCGAGTCAATCTCCCATTGTCGGATTGAGCGTTGAAATATATCTCGACCATCTGACACCACCCGTCAGGTTTGAGGACACGAAATATGTCCCGAATATAGCTTTCCCAGCGGTTTGCATGGATCCCTCCTGCAACCATTTGACTATGGGCAACATCGTATCGATCCGATTGGAATGTGAACCTAGAATGGCAACAGTTAGTTCTTCGTCAAGATTCAGAAAGAGTCTGGTATTGCCATTCAACCTTCCATTCAAATCGTCTACTTGCAACTCGAGGTTGTCTGGGGGATCTTCCGGCAACATGTGCGGACTGGCATCGATTCCCAGGACCTTGGGTTCTCTATGAGCCCTTGCATAACACAGAATATCACCTCTATTCTCTGGATGTTTGGACTTACCGACGCTCTCGGAAGTTCTTCAGCTACGGCTGATGCCCAATCACCGCCTCCGCAGCCGAGGTCAAGAACTCTGCGCGGAGAGGCAACGGGGGGGAATATCAGCCGATTATCGAACACTTGGTTAAAGATACGATGCATTTGCTCGAGCCGCGCTGTCTCTCTCTGCCGAAAGTTAGTCGAATATGGCGTCGAAGGAGAGATCCGATTTACCTCATCCACCGGTGAGAAATATGTCTCGTTAGTTAAGGCATACTTTTGGTACATTCGACCATGAAACTCAACGACCTCAGCAAAAGTGTCGTCCAGAGGGACTGTTCCGTCACTAAAGCTGTTAGTTGTGCTCTGTTCAAAGCAGCCTTCGTGGATTCTTACTCTGGCTCCATGTCAATCAACAGACGCGAAGGGAAGCAAAGCTCTCGAGGCTAAAAGTGCTCCTGAGCTTTTATTCCTGCCTGTTAAGTTTCTGGACTTGGAGAAAAGGTACAGACCAGGGAAATAGGGATTTGAGGTTTGGCTGTCTTTGCGAACCGCTGTCCACAGTTAGTCGTCGTGTAGTGGCTCCGAAATTCAGCGTTATGCCCTCCCGCACGCACAAGGCACTCTTATTCGTCCCTTTGTGGCTCGCAACTGCCAGCATATGCAGGCGCTGAGCATTGGATACCTTAGAACTGGTGGGGAGGGGCCAAATACTGCCAGCACATATGGACGGTCCACCGAATCTGTCGTATATATTATACTGCCGATCGTAGGCTGGAGGCACATAATATCAAGGCTCCGGTGGTGCCTGGTCCTGCTGGCTTGACCCAGGGTCCACCCCAATACCTATGTGAAATAGGCGGGCAAGGGACGGGAATGGGGGGAATACAAGAACTGGGGCAGCGAAGCGTGAATTGGGCAAGTTATTGAAGGCTTGACCATGCAGGCACCGAGCGCGCTTCTATCTTTCTCAAGCTTAGTTTCATACCCATGACAGGGTGAGTGTCAGTCTATGATTTGGTGGCAGAAATATTTCATGGCGCCCTTTTACATCTCGAGTACTTCTCGCAATCGGACAGTCAGCAAGATGCCAGAGACATGGACATACCTGACAAACTGCGAAACAGTCGCCTTTCCATGAATCACAATCACAGCTAAGACTTTGTCCTGTGGATCCTGACTGAATGGCAGATCGGGTCAGTGGGTGGCTGTCATCATGAGTCTATTTGTTGATCTGATTTCATCCCTGTTTTGGTTCAGATTGCACAGTCGGTGTTGTTGCTCTAAGAGCCTACACCACTCACTTTTTATTTTAGTCAACGCACATCTGCCCTGTGCGCACGCCTCTAATTTGGGCAGAGTCTTGCGGTCTTCCAGGTTACGGTACCAAGCTTTACCTTGGGGGAAATATTCGGAGATTGGTATCCTTCAATGACCGTCGCTGCAAGCCCCAGGAGCGAAAACCAGGTCAAGCCAGCGTGGCGCAAAAACTTGGCCAAGGATGTTAGTGCTACGGACAGAGGAGGGGGGCAGTCTCACGCACCGGGCTGCTAAGA